TTTTTATATTATATATATATATATATATATATATATATATATATATATATATTAAACCTATATATATATATTTATGTATATATAATATATATATACTCTTTTAAATTTGACCTACTTTCATAAATCAGTTTTTACCGTGCACTCAAAAACGTATGTAGGAAACAGTAATTATTCTAGAGTTCTTTGTTAAATGTGCTTGTTCCTTTCAGCATTGATAGTAAAAGTGAAATTTAAACATTTTTTTATATTTTAAAAAAAAATTGTTTATAAGAAAGAATACTCTATAACTAAATCTAATAATTTTTAGTTGTTATCTACCCTTAAAATTAACAGAGGGGACAAAGATGGCGGCCACAATACATAAACATTGCAAACTAGGCGAAATTTCGAAAATATTATTTTTATCTCAGGGAAGAGTAAGATTAATTATATAAAATATATATATATATTAATTAATAAATGCGTGATTCGGTCCGATTAGCTACCACATTAGTAGTGATAGTAGACTTAGTCATCGTATTATTATTTATATAATATAGTCATACGAAAAATTTCGTTTGTTTTTAGTTTTTGTTTTTATTGATCAAAATAGATATGTTTTTTTAATGAATTTATTTATGACATTGTACATTGTTTATTTCAGCACATATATAAATAATCCAAGACAACATTTTTAAAACTTAAAAATTAGGGCAATATTAAATATAGTATAAAATTAGGGCAAATTTAAACAATTTAAAAAATGTGTAATTATGAAGAATTATATTATATGAATCATTATAATTAATAAATTATAAATTAAAGAAAAATGAGAAGACAACAGAATTTGAGATTGATTATGCATGCTGCATAGTAATAGTATAGTTCTCCCCCAAGGCCAAGGTAACAATGAAGTTTTAAAAATATAAATCAGTGAAAACGGTTGCATGCAAATAGGAAGGGAAAAGATCATAGTCATACTATGACTCATGGTGTAGCTTGAGCAAAACTGTCTTTTTCAGTTTGCGCTTAGTGCACATCCACAGCCACATGTTTTAAACATTCCCTGTGTAGACACCAGTTTCATTTGTATCAACAACATTTTTTGGATGGACAACAAAGTGTTGATAGATTTCGTGTCTGATCTAGTTGTTGTTTGCTTAAACCAACGACATCCCATACAATACTACAGTTACAGGAGCCTTTAACTGTAATAGTAATATCTCTCTATGCATCTCTGTTAAGTGATCATAAGTCGGTCAGGCACTTGAATGGTAAAACAGCACCCACTCTGTCTATACCGAAAACCAAGTCGCCCGCTCTCATCTGTACTATTAATGGACATCAATAAAACAATAAGCGTTTAAATAGCACTTCAAACCAGAACAACAGAATTATTTTCATAACAGACGCTAAAGTTGTAGCTTACCATCAATACTTAATCAATTATTTTCTTGATCACTGTTCTGATATGCCATGATTCTTTTAAATCATGCTAAAAATTATTGCTTGGATGCTGAAATTGGAAAGACATCATTCAAATTATCATTGTTATTGTAAAGTGTAGTTATTGTAGGGTGCTGGGTGGCTGAGTGGTCTAAACTGAGCGATCTAATCTGGAGTTCAATCCCCACCAAAGCCCAGCCAAGCAAAAACAACATCACCTCGTGATGGGACTCGTTAACCTTAGATGGCAACTCATCTAAGAGAAGGAAACTCTGAATTCAAAACCTGGAGATGGAATCCCTTTGGCGGATAATATTGGTACAATGAAACATTCCGACAACTCCTGTGACGCCACTGGTGCCAAGCTGTATCATCCACATGATAACCCCTTGTGTTATCCAGCGGCTTGGAGTTTTGTTGGGATGCTTTCTGATGACAGAAGCATATAATCCTACGAAGACCACACCACATTGTGGTGGATGGATGCCTGCAAAAAAAATTTAAAAATTTAATAGCAAAACAAGGGGTCCATCTTTGAGGCTCCTTTTCCACTAAGCATTAGAATTTTGAAGTTTGAGTCTTAATCTTAACATTCTGTTCAGCTCACTACATTGACTTTGATTCTCTCACTTTTGTTTATTTATTTCGTGAATTGTTCCTAGACTAGAGTTAACTTTAATTTTTTGACACGGATTGAACGTTTTAAATTATTATTTCATTGGTTATTTAGGGGTAATTTTACACTCAATTTGGGGGTTGGGGGGGGGGGGGTGGATATTTAGGGGGAATTTATACTTTAGTTAGGGATACTGACTTAGCATTAAGGTTAGGTAGATTAGTAGATTTATGATTGAAGATATTCTAAAAAAATTGTTTCATTAAATTTTAACATTTTATTCCTAATTTTCTTTTCTCTTTGTAAGTAGCTAAAACAACATATTCTCTCTTGGTCCCCTCCCCATTTTACCCAGGCGTGTGTTTACTCTACTTTCTTTTGTTTTTACAAGTCCATCATTTTGGTTGCCATGACATGTCTGCCTTCATGGCAATCAAGATGGCAGCCATAGGAAATAAGTGCCTCACCAAACCGCAATATACCGACCACCACAGCCTTCAAAACTGCACTCAAAACACATCTCTTTAAACTCTACTATCCTGACTGATCCCCCCCCTCAAACCGATAAACGATACTGCTGGGTGCCGTCCACGGCTTGACATGTCAATAGTTCTGGAATGGGTGGAGTCAATATACATTTGTTTTGTTTTATTTCATTAATGTATGTTAATTACTGTTTTTAAATTCATGATGATGTTTGTTAAATTGTATGTACAACTTAGTGAGCCCAGCCCTAGGCTTGGGTACAAGTCTATATAAAACCACTAATGATAATAAGAATAATGATTTCTCCCACACCTCTCTCTAAACTCTAACGGTAGCTCGTTTGATTGACTCTGCGTCATTTGAGTGTCTCAGTGATTCTTATTCAAAATCACACTGATGTGAATTGATGCCAAACTGTTTTGAATAGATATCTTATTTACTCATCACTAGGGGAATCCATAAAGTATGTCACCTCCAAGGGACTTTAATAGTTTGACAGTTATTTAAAAAAGGGGTTGGGGGGGGGGGGATTAAAGATTGTGATGTCAAACATTTTTTATTTTTTTATCACACATCTAAAATCTGAAATTGACAATGATGTTTAACTGTGACTTCTGTGATGGATGTTCTCTGCTGACAGAAGATGTCACTTTTATACATTGAATAGTGGAGTGTGGTTTAGATTTAATTTATTTAGCTTTTAATTTTTTAACAATTTCTTAGTTAAAAAATTTGACATGTTTAGAAGGGGGGTAATGAGATTTATGAAAGGTTGCCGCAGGGGGAGGGCGGGGGTAAAATTGTCCAACAATAGGGTGACATACTTTATGGAAGGCCCCTAGTAATAGATTTTAAATACAATTAAGTAAAAAGTGAAATGCATCCCCTTGACCCTTTTCAAGGAATGGCAAGTGCCCATGTCCATGTACCACTATTTCAGATCGGTGCTCTAATAGCATTATTACTAATTTATCATTTATTGTATTTTCTTTATTGACTTATTTATAATTCAGGTAAAACCATGTCATTCCATGATGCACATTATTTAAACATTTAAAATTAAGAATTCAAGTGATTAGCAGTGGGAAAAAAATATTATAAAAAGACCCATTCACAGTGCCAGCGTCTGAAAAAAAAAAATAATAATAAAGTTTATTTAAAAAACACGCTTCATCCCCAAAAGCTCGAAGCGCGGTACAAAGTCAACCCTATTAAAAAGAGAAATAAAAACAATCTGAAATTTACCACATTTAAAAAACAGACGCAACAATATAAAGCTACATACGAGCATACCCAGTCAAAGTCTTTCATCACGTTTCAACCATAAGTAACACATGCCAATAAACATTAACTGAAAAAAGATGGTAGATAGCATCACCCCAGAAGATGTTTGCGAAATAGATGTTTTTTTAAATCGGTTTTAAAGGACTTCAATGTCTGGCTGTTTCTGAGAGCGACTGGAAGGGCGTTCCAAATTGTTGGGCCTGCAAATGCAAAAGTGCGCTTTCCGTAAGTCAAGGCGAACACACGGTATCAATATTTTGCCACTGTCGGATGAGCGGAGCTCTCTAGTGGGTACATAAGGCGTCATGAGTGCTTTGAGATAAGATGGCGCCAGGTCATGTAAGCAGCAGTAGCACAAAGTTGCAATTTTGTACTCTATGCTAGCGCGGACCGGCAGCCAGTGCAGCTCTCTCAGTAGTATTTTAGCATGGTCGAATTCACGTTGGTGAAGAACAATGCGAGCCGCATTATTCTGTGCTCTTTGAAGTTTATCCAGGAGCGTAGCTGGGAGACCCACCATGAAAGCATTGCAGTAGTCCATACGTGATCACACAAATGCAGACATCAGCCTCTTTGATGCATCATACGTTAACAAAGGTCTGATATGACTAATCCTGCGCAGCTCTTGAAAAATCGCCTTGCAAAGCATGTTAATGTGATTTTCCATAGTTGGTGTTCTGTCTAAATAGACACCCAGGTCTCGCACTGTTTGAGCAAACTCAATCTGCATACCTGAGAGAGTAAGTGATGTTGTGTTTTTTACAGATTTTTGTTTCTCAGCAGTGGCAATGGGGATCAGCTCAGTCTTTTCAGCATTCAATTTGAGCTTGTTTATGGTCATCCAGTGCTTAACTAACTCCACTGTCTTCTGTGTTGTACTAAGAAATTGAGGGAACTGATTCAACGGATTGTTGAAGTTGTGTATCATCCGCGAACATGTGATACAGCATGTGAAATTGCTTGATCACTGCACCCAGTGGCTGAACGTACATAGTGAAAAGCATCGGGCCTAGGACCGAGCCCTGGGGTACTCCGAATTCAATTATAGATTGCTTGGAGGTCAAGCCGCTTGAAATAACTGACTGGACCCGATTTGTTACATACGAGTGAAACCATCTCAGAACAGTATGTCATCTCAGGACGAATGTTTTTTGCAGATGCTGGAGCAGTATGCCGTGGTCAAGCATATCGAAAGCTGCAGATAAATCGAGTAAAGACAAAATGGATACCTTGCCCTCATCACAAGACGACAGAATGTCGTTTATGACGCGCAACAGGGCTGTCTCAGTAGAAAGACCCATTCACAGTGCAAGTGTCTGACACAAGAATGCTGTACCTGGTGATAGTTAATTTCAAAACTTGTTTGTTGTTTTTCTCAGAGCGGCTTCTCAAATGTATCATGTGGATCTGTGACAGTACGACAGTATTCAAATATCTCAAAGGATAAAAAAGAAATTATTGCGGAAGGGCCTGGACTGGAAGACTTCATAGCTGGAAATATACCAGACTATGATGGGGAAGGAAGCATAAAACGTATTAAAGGAGAAAGGTATTGAGTTTTTATTTCTTTCATTAGCAATAAGTTAAGAAGTGTATATGGCATCATTTTGATGCTAGTTTTTAACCTATATTATCAGTAAGTTAAATGAGTGTATGTGATGATCATTTGGATGTTAATTTAGTGTTAAATGAGTGTATGTGATGGTCATCTGGATGTTTATTTAGTGTTAAATGATTGTATGTGATGGTCTGGTCATTTATTCTTCAAATTTTTTTCTTCATCCAGTCTTTTGGTTTGTTTATTTACAAATTGAGTTTTAATTTTACTCAAATGACAGACTCAGACTTCCAGAGTGGCTCAAGACAGAAATCCCCGTAGGGAAAAACTACATCGCGTTAAAACAATCGTTGAAGAAACTAAATTTACACACAGTAAGTTCACAATTTAATTCTAGATACATTTTACAAATCTCATATAACAAAAGACTATACAAATTTTCAACTAAAGATTTTACAAAATTAGATGTATATGTAGGAAGCATTCTATTTTTATAAAATGGGATAAAAATATTAAAAATCACTACAATTCTTTTTTTTTTTTTTTAAAAGTGAAATTTTGCATTTTAAAATAAGAATTGAGTGCCATTGTACCTATAATTAACAAAACTTTTTTTGTTGTTGCTGCTATTGCTTCGTTTAGCTGCTATTGCTTCGTTTAGAAGGTGATCTCTTAATAAATTTAAAATATAAATTCTCATATTAACCAGGAGAGTAAAGTTTAATTTAACAATTAACAAAATTATATGCACACGTTTGTTTTTAATGTGGATGAATACATCTTCTATTTGTACCGCCAGGTTTGTGAAGAGGCCAAGTGCCCTAACATTGGGGAATGCTGGGGTGGTGGGGAACATGCCACTGCTACAGCTACAATCATGGTAATACCAATACTGACATAGACAATACTTACATAGACAATACTTACATAGACAATACTTACACAGACAGTACTTACACAGACAATACTTACATAGACAATACTTACACAGACAATACTTACATAGACAATACCAACAAAAGAAATGATTAAAAACTTTTTATTTTTAAACATCAATATTTAAAGTGGATTGAATTATGCTCCAAGATCTTTCTAAATGTTAACCAAGTAAAAGTGACATCTCCCATATTGTTGTAGCAATATTTTGTGTTGTAAAATAGAGTATCTTAACCCAGACTATGGATAGAAATGAAAATAGAATGAAAACTGTTTTTATAAATATTTCATTGATGGTTTTAAAAGATCACAATTAATGTTGGGAACCACAATGGGGAACAAATACAATTTAAAAATAGTTATTTACTATTTGAGCAGTTTGTTATTAAAGTAAAAAATGGGATGATGCTATAGTATGGCCTATGTCTGGACCTGATTTTACTTCAATGTAGAGCTAAGTTGTCCACCACTCCCCTCCCCTATTTTGTTTTGATATTGGCCTCTCTGATGACATGTGTAGCACCAATCCTTTTTACCCATTCCTTTCCTTGGTTAGTAAAAGGTTGTTTACGTTAGAATCCATTCTATTTGTTCTAAAGACTGAAATCAGGTGACACAATTTCTTGAATTTCCTTTCTGGAGTGTTCTAACTTACTCCCTATATATAAACCAGTAGCTTTAGTTGCCAGAGAGAGAATATTGCTAGACATTTAAGAGAGAAAAATCACGTACCAGATTGTACTCCTTATGTGTGTGTATTTTAATTGGTATATTTCGAGCATTGCACTTTTTCACTTACTGTGCTGTAAATTACAATAGTTTTTATTTCTGTCTTGTTGATTTTTTTTAATATAATTCTAATGACATAATTGACTTGAATATTGTTAGTATCATTAGCTGTGGTGTTTCTTTGTATACTGGTTTTCTGTTATTTGCTACATATATTTCATTTAACGAGCCAAATCTTAAAACAGATTTAAGTTTCAAAACCACAGCATGTAACAGTTCATATATAAAGATGCATTCAATACTGTAACAGTTGAGATATAAAGATGCATTCAACAGTTGCATTATGTTTTGACCTTCCACCTTTGTGTGTATATGTGGCTGTGTTCAGGTCTTGGGTGACCAGTGCACCAGAGGCTGTAGGTTCTGCTCAGTGAAGACCGCGCGCAACCCACCGCCACCAGATCCCATGGAGCCTGTAAACACAGCCACGGCCATCTCTGAGTGGGGCCTGGACTATGTGGTCCTTACATCAGTTGACAGAGATGGTAACACAATCTTTTGTAACATGCATTATTCAGCACATCATTCCATTCTAACATTTATTGTTGAACAACTATTTGAACATCTATTTTAACTTACATTATTCAAAACATAATTCCCTTTGAAACATAGAAAAATATTCACTACTTTTTAAACATTTTATTAGCTTTACACTTCTTATTTCTTGTTTAACGTAAAGTGCAAGAATGTTTTTTCCATAAATCAAATACTGATAGTGGAAATGAAGTTTTAAAATAAAATAAAACTACCTCTAAATTTACTTTTGACAATAGCTTAGTGCCAGTACATCAGTAATGAGACTAATTTAAACATGTGATTTGATTGGTCTGTTTGCTCCCAGTGATAGTTGTGGCTCTATATTGCTGAAGATACCAGTGATGTATCAGGTTAATTATTTGCTGTCATGTCTATCCCTGACCTGACAAAGTAGCTCTCAGTCTCAAACTATTTTGAAAATATTGTTATTTAGTGTAAGAAATGATGTCATTTCCTTGTTGTATCAGATCTCCCTGATGGTGGCGCAGCTCATTTTGCACAAACAGTTCGAGAAATAAAATCAAGGTAATATAAGTCATATTGGCAGCCAAGGTCTAGGTAATATAAGTGGTAGTGACATCCAAGATCTAGGTAATATAAGTGATATTGGCAGCCAAGATCTAGGTAATATAATTGGTAGTGACATCCAAGATTTAGGTAATACAAGTGGTAGTGACAGTCAAGATCTAGGTAATATAAGTCCTGGTAGTGACAGTCAAGATCTAGTTAATATAAGTGATATTGACATCCAAGATTTAGGTAATATAAGTGATAGTGACAGTCAAGATCTAGTTAATATAAGTGATATTGGCAGCCAAGATCTAGGTAATATAATTGGTAGTGACATCCAAGATTTAGTTAATAAAAGTGGTAGTGACAGTCAAGATCTAGGTAATATAAGTCCTGGTAGTGACAGTCAAGATCTAGTAAATATAAGTGATATTGGCAGCCAAGGTCTAGGTTATATAATTGGTAGTGACATCCAAGATTTAGGTAATAAAAGTGGTAGTGACAGTCAAGATCTAGGTAATATAAGTCCTGGTAGTGACAGTCAAGATCTAGTTAATATAAGTGATATTGGCAGCCAAGATCTAGGTAATATAATTGGTAGTGACATCCAAGATTTAGGTAATAAAAGTGGTAATGACAGTCAAGATCTAGGTAATATAAGTTCTGGTATTGACAGTCAAGATCTAGTTAATATAAGTGATATTGGCAGCCAAGATCTAGGTAATATAATTGGTAGTGACATCCAAGATTTTGGTAATATAAGTGATAGTGACAGTCAAGATCTAGGTAATATAAGTCCTGGTAGTGACAGTCAAGATCTAGTTAATATAAGTTATAGTGACTGTCAAGATCTAGGTAATATAAGTGGTACTGACAGGCAAGATCCAAGTAGTTTTGCTTCATTGTTATAGACGTGCTTTGCAACCATAATATTTTGTTTGTTATATTAACATGTCGTTATTGTTAATAGTTACTATTATTGTACAGCTATAAAAGTTTGTTTGCTATAGAAGCCTTTTTATTGATGTAATCAAATGTTTCACCACAACTAAGATGGTACAGTTAAGATAACGTGACATGACGTGGCAGTGACTCAATCACAAACTCCAATCATGCCATGGCAGTGACTCAATCACAAACTCCAATCATGCCATGGCAGTGACTCAATCACAAACTCCAATCATGCCATGGCAGTGACTCAATCACAAACTCCAATCATGCCATGGCATTGACTCAATCACAAACTCCAATCATGCCATGGCAGTGACTCAATCACAAACTCCAATCATGCCATGGCAGTGACTCAATCACAAACTCCAATCATGCCATGGCAGTGACTCAATCACAAACTCCAATCATGCCATGTCAGTGACTCAATCACAAACTCCAATCATGACATGGCATTGACTCAGTCACAAACTCCAATTATGCCATGGCATTGACTCAATCACAAACTCCAATCATGCCATGGCATTGACTCAATCACAAACTCCAATGTTAGTGTTACTTATTCCGGAAGTGCTCACATTTTTCTTTTATTTCCAGAAGCCCTCATATCCTGGTGGAGTGCCTCACACCAGACTTCAGGGGAGACATGGAGGCAGTCACTGTTGTGGCAGACTCTGGTCTTGATGTGTATGCACATAATGTGGAGACGGTAGAAAGCTTGCAGTGGTGAGTGGTCAGTTAGCGGGTTGGTTGGGTCAGTTCATTGATCTTAGCATTAATGGCGAACACTTAAGTTTTTGAACTGCAGTCTATTACCTGTTGTTCCTTCATTTGTGCTGTCTGCTTAGGAAGGTTCTTAGCCGAAACGGTCTACTTTTATTTTCCTGTCTTTATATTCCACATACCTTGTCCCACTCATTCCTTCACATAGCTTAAACGCAGTCCTTCATTTATTGATTGCATGGGGAAACAAGTTTGTGAGTCAGATTGAATGGGTAGACAAGTTTGTGGGTCAGTTTGTTGAGTTGCTGAGTTTGTGGGTCAGATTGTATGGGCAGACAAGTTTGTGGGTCAGATTGTATGGGTAGACAAGTTTGTGGGTCAGATTGTATGGGTAGACAAGTTTGTGGGTCAGATTGTATGGGTAGACAAGTTTGTGGATCAGTTTGTTAAGTAGCTGAGTTTGTGGGTCAGATTGGTGTAACTGGAGCTTGGAGGGAGGGGGGTGGGTAGGGCTAGTGTTTAGAAGCTATTCATCAGTAGATTTATTGGTGATCAGTTCCTGTATGTGTACTCTATTTAACTATTTGAATACAACATATATTAAATACCAAGACAATCTGGTGTATAGCCTCTGGTTCTGAAACAGGTCAAAATGGTTGTAACCAATCCTTATATTCTATAGCCATCATTAAATTTCAGATCTTGCAATGACATTAAGCTTTACATGTATTTAAAGTCCACTAGTGTAAATTCTAAGACTTACTTTGTCTTTAACCTTCAGGCTGGTGAGGGACCCTCGAGCCAACTACCATCAGTCATTATCAGTGTTGAAACATGTCAAGTCCAGGTACCCTAAAATGGTGACCAAAACATCCATCATGCTAGGTCTGGGTGAAACAGATGACCAGATTATGAAAACACTTGAAGGTACATAAAATGCATCATCTATTAATAGATGTTTGAAACAAACACCCACCCCCACCCCCCAACCAGATTCCAAGTTAGGTCTTAAACATTGTCTTATAATTTAAACATAAGGTTGTGCCCCCTCACTGCATTTAAACATAATTTTCCTCTTGACCTGCATGTTTTATTTTTACAACTTATTCATGGACCTAAACAAATGAAATAATGGAGTGCAGGAAGAACTCTTTGAGTTTCATTTTATTTCATTTAGGGATCAATAACATAGTTTTGGGTTCACAAATTAATTAATTTTTTTTTTATTCACTTACTATACAACTCTATTGAAAGATTTTCATATGTCCATGAGAGGAGAGAAAAATGATTAAGAGTAGAAGTATAAATTTTAATTAAAAAACAATATTATTGGGTCTGTTTTAATTGGCCCTACTCAACTCACAGGACTAGAGTTTAGAAACAACAAACATGATTTTGGAACAACCCAAATAGGAAAAAGTATGTAGCCTGCAGGGGCAAGCTACTCCGTTTAACACAAATTTGGAAGTACCCCATAGAGAGCGGTTTTGTTTTCTCTTATTTTCATATTTTATTTATCTCAGTAATCAATGACCCTGTACATGCAATTATAAATATCTTGATAAGTGATGACATATACATGCAATTATAACTATCTCACTAAGTTAAGTGGCCCTATATATGAAATTACAAATAGATAAAATAACTTTCTAACTATTTCAGATTTAAGAATGATTGATGTAGACTGCTTGACCCTGGGCCAGTACATGCAGCCAACCAAGAGACATTTGAAGGTAAACTACACTATATGTCTTCTATTGAATCACTGCAGGTTTTTATCAAGTCAGGTAAGCTACACTAGATTTCTTCTATTGAATCACTGCAGGTTTTTATCAAGTCAGGTAAGCTACACTAGATTTCTTCTATTGAATCACTCTAGGTTTTATCAAGTCAGGTAAGCTACGCTAGATTTCTTCTATTGAATCACTGCAGGTTTTTATCAAGTCAGGTAAGCTACACTAGATTTCTTCTATTGAATCACTTTAGATTTTATCAAGTCAGGCTTAGATGTCCTCACGGAAACAATTTTTAGTGGGACATTTTGAAGAAAAAAATCATTTTGAGATGGTTCTCATTGCTTAATCCTATGTTAAAAAAACAGTGCTACCCATGGAGTAAGAAATATACATTCTATTGGGCACACGTTTATACATTATTTTTATATAAATAAAATTATTTGAATAAATTAGAACCAAGTCATCTACATTGACTTGTCTAAAGTAAGTGAGATACAAAGGCAACATGCAGCTCAACAGCAGGGGGGAAATGGCAAGTGTAACAGAAAGAGAGATAACTGCCATTGTTATATGCCTATCCAGAAGGGAGGTTCCCGCTTGGGCTCTGACCCGTGTGAGGGAGTGCCGGGGAAGGGGTATTATGAGTGCAAACTCGACGACCCACCGACACCATCTCCAAAGTGACGTTGTATGCGTATGTAACATTTAGCATAGATGGAAGGGAATGGTTACATCCCTCCTAAAACTGACTTAGCACATCAGACCAACTGACTTAGTCCATCAGACCAACTAACTTAGTCCATCAGACCAACTGACTTAGTCCATCAGACCAACTTTGAAGTGACAGTCAAATGTTATTGACCCAGACTAATCATGGTTTATTTCTATCTTCATTATATTGAAATCACAGTTTTCCACAGGTCTTGTGACAGGTTACTGTCATGGCACCCACAAGGTGATGTTTTGAAACATGTTTTTATTCGTGTTTAGAGATTGGAATGCTTTTACTTGAAATCATATTGTAAGTCTCCCTTTGCAAAAAAAAAATAAAATAATTTTCTGAAAATCCTGTACGCATTTTCATTGCTTCTTAATTCGGATATTCTGATTATCTATATCTTACAATAACATATAATTTTTATGTTTACAGACGTCCCTCGCCATATAGCGGTTCACTTTTCTCGGTCTTACTGTATTGCATATATTTTACTTTTACCTAATTTTGTATCATAGATTTTCGTCGATATCGCGTGATTTTGGGGCATACAGATATTTTTGAATACTATACAATTATTTTACTTATTTTTGCGGTTGAATATGCATTTGGATGTCTAAAGAATGGAGAATAAAAAATTAGTTAAAACATATTAAACGAATTTAAATCAAAATAAAATACGTAGCTTACAGCAGATGAGTAGACAAAGACTGGCATATATGGAAAACAGCTACGACACACTATTGGCTGATTGATGCGACGGGACCAACCGGAGTAATGTCACTATTGGCTGATTGATAGGACGGGACCAACTGGAGCAATGTGTTATGCTCCATGAAAATTACTTGGGTTGAAAAGTGTAGAAAGGGTTTTAGAGGATAGGTAGTGTTTATAAATTATTGATAAATTATGAATTAAATATAAAGTTGTACTTTGCAGATTTGTGCCTGTCGTGTGGGGTTATGGAACCTAACCCCAGCAATAGACAAGCGACCACTGTATTATTTAGTAGTATTTTGAGATATCTGTATAAGTTCCACCTTATTTTAACCTCAGGTTAAAGAATATGTCCACCCTGACAAATTTGACTACTGGCAACAGATTGGTGACAAGCTTGGGTTTGTGTACACAGCAAGTGGTCCACTGGTCAGGTCATCCTACAAAGCAGGTCAGTAGGACACATAAGGGGTTAGCATCCTATCTTGTTGTCCACCATTCAGTTTTTTGTCAAGTCAAGTTTATGAGTAGTGCTGCTTCTAACAAATTCTTCTATGCCTAAGAAATGGAGGTATCACCATGTTGATCAGTTGATCACAATGATTCACCATGTTGATCAGTTGATCACAATGATTCGCCTTGTTATTCAGTTGATCACAATGATTCGCCTTGTTGATCAGTTGATCACAATGATTCACCATGTTGATCAGTTGATCACAATGATTCGCCTTGTTGATCAGTTGATCACAATGATTCACCATGTTGATCAGTTGATCACAATGATTCGCCTTGTTAATCAGTTGATCACAATGATTCGCCTTGTTAATCAGTTGATCACAATGATTCACCATGTTGATCAGTTAATGACCATATTATTAACACTTTTTAGTCTTTAGAGAACCGGTTAATGCTATTTGTATGGCAGAGCTGAGGTTATAAACGGTTACTGTAAAACTCATCTCTTATCAAATCAAAAGTCAGTAGAAATAACCAGAAATAATACTAATGATGCAAAACTGTTTGATGTCGTGCTGTGTGATGTAGTGCTGTGTGTGTGATGTAGTGCTGTGTGTGTGATGTAGTGCTGTGTGATGTAGTGCTGTGTGATGTAGTGCTGTGTGTTGTAGTGCTGTGTGTTGTAGTGCTGTGGGATGTAGTGCTGTGTGAGGTAGTGCTGTGTCATGTAGTGTGTGTGTTGTAGTGCTGTGTGTTGTACTGCTGTGTGTTGTATGGCTGTGTATTGTAGTGATGTAGTGCTGTCTATTGTAGTGCTTTAATTTGGATGGTGCTCTGTTTCATGATGAAATAGTAAACTAATGTTATTTGTATAATGGCTTATTTGTGTGAGTATTCTGAAAGCTGTCACATTATTCTGATGGCAAGATCATCGAGAGTTCCAACAGAAACTGTTTTTTATGTAACTCAGTTTTTTTAAATATTTTCAAAGTTACAATTTCTGTTTTGGAATATGACTTTTTTTTTTTTAAATCCTAGGAGAATTCTTCCTGAAGAATCTACTAGAAAAGAGAAAATCAGAATCCTAACAGTTGACGGACGGCAAACCTTGAGTGAAAATATTTGGAATAAAAGTTCCATCATGTGTGAAACCCCAGGAAGGGATAAGAGCAGATAACTGTATACAGATATTAAATTATTTCCACACTGCAGTTGTTTTGTCTTTTCAATAACAGATTTCAAATTAAAGTCCCGGTTTCAAATGAGTGCAATGTTGTATTTGAACCGTCTGAATTGTATTCATTGTTCATGGAATACAGTTTTGTTGGTGGGATTGGAGGACAAAGTTCACAAGAACAAGAAACTGTAGTATGGACATTTATTTATTTTTGTCAACATAATTGTATGAAATACAAAGCTAAATGCAGATTATTGCTACTGGTTGATCTAGAATGGACATGTTCATTCACTTTGTGACACAACTTCTCTCACTGTGCATAACAATCTATTGCTTTCATAATCTATTATTTCAATCAAAATGCAGTCTTCATTTTCACTCTGTAACAGTCTACATATCTACATAAAATGTGTGTTGTTGTGCACATGCTTCCCACATTGCACACAATCAACTCAATGCACCAAAATTCTTCTCACACGGCAACAGTGAACTGACATTGCATCACAATCAATTCAATGCACCAAATTTTCCACTTAACGCAGCACATTCTACCCACATCCAACTCAATATATACCACATTGTACACAATCAACTAAGTACACCTCATTCTTTCCACACCGCAATGCATTCTGCCCACATTGCACCAGTAAACAATACACTACATTCTACCCACACTGCAGCTGTCATCAATACACTACATTCTACCCACACTGCAGCTGTCATCAATACACTACATTCTACCCACATTGCACCACAGTCAACTACATTCTAACCACATTTAACTCAATGCACCACACAGCAACACAATCTAGCCACATTGCTCCACAGTCAACTGACAAGGTTTTTTATTCAATATGTAAAACAAAATAAGCATTCAACAGTCTACATAACAACAAGATGACAAATCCGTGGTTGAGATAGAGCTGTTATCATCAGTAGTATAGTGAGACATGACATAAGCAACTATTGAAACTATTGTAACATTGAATCCAATATGAACTGCCAATGATATCATCACAAATTGTGATATGACAACATAGCAACCATCAAAACCGGTAGTATTGTATTACAATGATATGAGTTAGCAAATGACTACAGTTGATGAACTAACACAAGTTAGATATTGAAACTTAAGCATATTGAGGACATTATGAAACAATGGAGATGTTTTGTTCAATTTTAAATACCAATTAAAACAGAAGAAGATGTTAAAACCAGAGTCTTTTTTTTACCAAAGGGAGTGTACTGCAGCAAAGATTTGAAATTTTTACTAATTTTTTTTTTATTTTTCCAAATAATGATACACTTAATTAAATAATATAGATTACAAAATTGTTTTTCAAATGTCAAATCACAATTTACATCAATTAAATATCATTTAAGAGTTATTTTTTTAAATTGTACAATTTTTAACACTTTTTTTGATAACTTTAAAATAACCATAATTTAGACCCCACAACCAAATTTCCCCACAAACAAAAAAAACAATCCATAATTAAAGTATTTAAATACAGCATGTTTTTGACCCACAACTGCATATAACATATATATATATGTATAATATATATTTATATATATGAATCCTTCAATTTCAATCCTCTTGAGATGGTGGAGTAGACAACTGACATCTCATCAAATGGCTTACGGAGACTGATCCTGGACAGGAATGTCAGTCTGGACTGCACTTTTCACAGGATGACCTTGACTGTTGGTGAAATTTTGGTGTAATCCTCTTTTTGTTTCAAGGGCTTTGTTTCAGTAATATAATAAATAAATCTAATTTAATAGGAATTCCAATCTGCTGTTACGACATTGGCATTTCATTGTTCTGCCAATTGATTGTTCTTTAGCTTATAAAAGATTGATAATTTTGTGAGCAAAACATTGTATTCTATCAAAGTTCATTTAATTCTATTAAGGATGATGGATAACAAATGTGAAACATATGAATCATGAAGATGAAGCATTTAAAATTGCCTTAAATACATACTATTACTGTGTACGTACTTGTATCCAGCGGCTGATGCAATATAAAATAACCTTGGGGGGGGGGGGGTGCTGCAGGCTTGGGTGCTAACTATCCTGAATATGACATGATTATTAAAATATTAGTCTGAAGCATTTAAAATTGGCTTAAAAACATACTATTACTGTGTACGGGCTTGTATCCAGCGGCTGGTGCAATATAAAATAACCTTGGGGGGGGGGGGTGCTGCAGGCGTGGGTGCTAACTATCCTGAATATGACATGATTATTAAAATATTAGTCCTCAACAGACTGCAAAGATAAGCACAATATTATTTAGAAATCCATTACAGTAAATTCTTTCAATCTGTTTCCAAAGATTGCATACAGTAGACTTCTGCTATGACTTTTACAACCGCCTTTTCACACAAAAACATTTCAAAGATGTCCTTGATGTAACAAACCAAAACCGCACATCTATAGGATGTAACATCTATAGGATCTAACAGCTATAGGATCTAACATCTAAAGGATCTAACAGCTATAGGATCTAACAGCTATAGGATCTAACAGCTATTGGATCTAACATCTATAGGATGTAACATCTATAGGATCTAACAGCTATAGGATCTAACATCTAAAGGATCAAACAGCTATAGGATCTAACATCTATAGGATCTAACAGCTATAGGATCTAACATCTAAAGGATCTAACAGCTATAGGATCAAACAGCTATAGGATCTAACAGCTATAGGATCTAACATCTATTGGATCTAACAGCTATAGGATCTAACATCTAAAGGATCTAACAGCTATAGGATCTAACAATTAAAGGATCTAACAGCTATAGGATCTAACATCTAAAGGATCTAACAGCTATAGGATCTAACAGCTATAGGATCTAACATCCATAGGATCTAACATCTATAGGGTCTAACATCTATAGGGTCTACTACTGAGGGTCGTCTTAAAATTTATTATAAAAGTGCAATAGATTCATTATCTGTATCTGTTGCACAGCAGTGCCGTAGCTACTATTAGTGCCGCCCAGGGAGGGGCCGAAACTTTTGCCACCCTCCTTCCATGAAAAAATCTGCAATTTTTTGGCTGAAAATGCCGCCCCCCCCCCTCTCTAACAGAAAACGTGCCGCCTGGGGTGGACCGACCCCCCCCCCCCGCTCGCTATTTCCGGTCACACAATGTTAAATGGTTTCTTAAGATCTTAATGTAAAGTAACAAACGTTTGAAAGTTCCTTGTAGCTACGTAGTCGACACTATTATCGGTAGATGGGTAATTATTGGAATACATGATACTAAATCAGACATATTCGTTATTATTTGACCAAATTATTAAGCTCTGAAACACCTACAATATGAAGCTCATGTATATGAGATAAGCAATCATGCAACTTGACACTTACAAATGAACCAGCACAAAAACAAACAAAAAAAAAAAAAAATACAGAACAACATTAACCTAGACTTAATTTGTTACTGACATAACATTTTATCATTTCGCTAATATATTTTCTTCAGAAACTTCTGCTGTATTATTTCGTCAGGAAATTGTGCTGTATTACTTTGTCAGGAAATTGTGCTGTATTACTTCGTCAGGAAATTGTGCTGTATTACTACGTCAGGAAATTGTGCTGTATTACTTCGTCAGGAAATTGTGCTGTTTTACTTCGTCAGGAAATTGTGCTGTATTACTTCGTCAGGAAATTGTGTTGTATTACTTTGTCAGGAAAGTGTGCTGTATTACTTCGTCAGGAAATTGAGCTGCATTACTTCGTCAGGAAATTGTGCTGTATTACTTCGTCAGGAAATTGTGCTGTATTACTTTGATGTTCTGTTGTTAGTGTCATCTTGCTATGTTCAATCACATGTAATTTTATCAAAGGTTTTCCCATTACTTATTTTCTCACAAAGTTGTGCTAAAGAAGTTCTCAATTATTGTCCAGATCAATCCTATAATTTATTAGAGCTCAAGATTACAAACACATTGTTAGGCCTCTCTCATCAAGATTACAAACACATTGTTAGGCCTCTCTCATCAAGATTACAAACACATTGTTAGGCCTCTCTCATCAAGATTACAAACACATTGTTAGGGCTCTCTCAGAAAGCTGGCAAAAATTCTGGTCAAAGCTTTCGGTACCAGTTCAAATAACACCTCTAGTGTTCCACTGAACACCTCTGGTGTTCCCCTGAACACCTCTTGTGTTCCACTGAACACCTCTTGTGTTCCACTGAACACCTCTTGTGTTCCACTGAACATATCTTGTGTTCCACTGAACACCTCTTGTGTTCTACTGAACACATCTTGTGTTCTACTGAACATATCTTGTGTTCCACTGAACACCTCTTGTTTTCCACGCACTAAAACAAAATCATTAAAATAACAAATGAGCTTAAATTGCAACTAGCTACGGTACGATCCATTCTCAACATTTACGTTGAAAAAAAAAAACACACACTCAAAATGAACTTCGTCCACCCCCACCCCTCCCCCCCCCCCTCTTTTTTCCTCACTCCATCAAATTTTTAAAAAAAGTGCCAGTTCAATAAAAAAAAAACACACCCTCAAAATGAACTTCGTCCACCCCCACCCCTCCCCCCCCCCTCTTTTTTCCTCACTCCATCAAATTTTTAAAAAAAGTGCCAGTTCAATTATTGTGCCAAATATTTCTTAACATAATAAAGGTTCCCAAACTAAGCCTAGTTTTCATATTTTTAAACCAGCACCCAGTTCTTTTTTTTTTTGTGCCGGTACGCACCGGTACTGCGTACCAGCACCTTTTTTAATGTGGGGAAACAATTATTACTTTTCTTGTCTTTTAACGTTTATTATTAATTTATTATATTATTAATTTGTTAAAATTGAATTATTTTAAAATTGCGCCAATAAGAATTAAAATATAAAATGCGAAACTGCTTTCCGCACACACTCGTAATGTTACGTCATTGGTTATTAACCTATTTCCGGTCATGGTTGTCTTTAAGACGTAATGCCTTTAAAATTTCAAAATTTGAATGTAATAATTAAGACTTAAAGAAATTAAAACGAGCGCAGTTAGAAATGGATAATTTAAGTAATACTTAATTGTTTTAGACATTTAGTATCTTTGCCGTTGTGATTTAGCTTGCATCGAGGTGCGAACTGGTAGTTAAAAGTTAGGCAATCCATCTCTGAGTACCGGCACCTATTTTTTTTACACAAAAAGCACTGCCAGCACATACAATTTAAAGTCTTAAAATAAAGATCATGAACTACCAATG